CTTTGGCAGAAGTTATTAATGATACTACCTAATCTCTAGAAGGAATAGAAATCAGTCTCAACTCATTGGCATGAGCAGTGGGGGACAGTTGCATTGCTCTTGATCTCTTGTTTGCTAGTCATGGTGGTGTCTGTGACTGAATATTCAAACAGACAATGGGCAGATGATATATAACAATAGAACTTGACCCACAATCTCTGCAGCAGTCAATCCAGGAAGCCAAACCATAACCTCTGCAACAATCAACCCAGAATTGTCCTGATTTAGTCATGTTTGCCAGCTTCTCTATTTTTTGTTCCTCATAACCAACCAGAGATCTACATGATTTATATCCCAGTTTAGGTATTTTTACATTTCGAAAATCAGAATATATAAAAAGTATGATTCTTCTCATAGTAGTACTGAAGACGAATCTTCCCCATGTTAAAAAAAAATCAGTGTCATAAAAAATAGAAGCAGCTGTGGAAACAAAGACTATTGACATGAGAATAAACAGAAATTATTTATTCAGCGTTTGATATAGGAAGGATCATCCACCATCACCTGCATTTGGCGGAGACTCAAAGACAAGAGGGGAGTGGGAAAGGTTTATAAAGTAAATAAAGGGAAGACTTCAGAAATACTCTGATGAGAATTTGGGATGGGGGATCTGGAGGTGGACTTAAGCAGAAGTAGAGCATCTTATGGCTGGGGGAGCATATCTGGCTCATATTTGGACTGCCCAGAGAAGCTAAATAAATAGCTTTCTTGAGGTATAATCGACATACAACAAACTTCACATATTTAAAGCATATATATCACCTGTGTTATAGACACACATACTCATGAAACCATTTTCTACATATCCAACATCCTCTAAAGTTTTCTTTTTCCTTTAAATCTCTCTCCTGCTTCCTCTCTGCTTCCTTTCTATTATCAAGCATCCAGTGGTCTGTTTTCTGTTACTGCATTAACTTTCATTTTCTAGAGCCTTATAAATGGATTCACACAGTATATACCCTTTTTAAAATTTGTTTGGCTTCTTTCACTCAGCATAATTATTTTATTAAATGAGTTTTGTTAAAATTTTGCTAAGAATTTTTGCATCTATAATCATGAGGGATATTCGTCTGTAGTTTTCTTGTAAACTTCTCTCTGATTTAGATATCAGGATAATGCTGGCCTCATAGAGTGAGTTGGAAATTATTCCCTCCACTTCAACTCTTCCACTTTTTTGAAAGAGTTTCTGTAGGATTGGTAATATTTCTTCCCCAAATGTTTGATAGACTTCACCAGTAAAGCCAACTGGACCTGTACCTTTCTTTGTGAGAAGGTTTCTTTTTTTTTTTTTTAATTGCAACTTTAACTTCTTTAATAGATATAGGACTATTTAGGTTATCCATTTTTCCTTGAGAAAGTCTGGTAATTTATGTCTTTCAAGGAATTTGTCCATTTTTTCCTATGATGTTGAATTTATTATATAGGGTTGCTCAAAATATTACATTATTCTTTTAGTATCTGTAGAATCTGTCACCTCTCTCACTTCCAATATTGGTAATTTATATGTAATTTTCCCCTGATCAATTTGTTTATAGGTTCATCAATTTAATTAATCATCTCAAAGATTCAGCTGTTAGTTTCATTGGTTTTCTCTATTGTTTTTTGCTTTACTATTTTATTGATTCAGCTTTAATCTTTATTATTTCTTTCCTCCTTGGATTTAACCATTGTGGTCAGAGAACATAGCTAGTATAACTTGAATCCTTTTGGATTTATTGAAACTTGCTTTATGGTCCAGATTATTGTCCATCTTGCTAAAAATTCTGTATACATATGATAAGCATTTGTATTCTGCTGGTTGTTGGAGTAGTATTCTATGTATGTAATCAGGTCAACATGGCTGATAATGTTTTTCAAGCCTATTATAACCTTGCTGATTTTCTACCTATTTATATTATAGGTTATTCAGGGAGGGGGATTGAAATTTCTGACTATAATTGTGGACTTTATTTCACATTGCAGTTCTATCAGTTTTTGCTTCATTTATTTTGAAGCTCTCTTATTAGGTGCATAGATGTTTAGAATTGTTGTATACTTTTGATTTAATGGCCCCTTTACCATCATGAAATGATCTTATTTACCCCTGGTAATATTCTTTGCTCTGAAATCTACTTCATCAAATATTGATAAAGCCACTCCAGCTTTCTTTTGATTAGTGTTAGCATGATATATCTTTTCCCATCCTTGTACATTAAACTTACTTGTGTTTTTATATTATTGATAAATGTGTGTCTTTTTTTATAGGCAGCAATTTAAAAAATCTAATCTGACAATCTCTGCCTTTTAATCGAGGTGATTAGACTATTTGCATTTAATGTAATAATTGAGTTGTATCTATCACCTTGCTGTTTTTTTCTATTTCTCTCATCTGTTCTTTGTTTCCTTTTTTTGCACTTTTCTGCCTACTTTTAATCAACTATTTTTTTGTTATCTCTTTTATAATATCTCTTTTTATACATATCTCCTTTAGCTGTAATTCTTACTACTTTAGTGATAGCTTTAGGGTTTATAGAATACATCTTTAACTTGTCACAGTCTAACTTCAGGTGATTTTATAACACATCAGAATAGTATAAGAGCCTACAACAATATATTTCCTATGGACTTTATGTTATTGTTGCCATGTATTTTGCCTTTACATATATTATAAACATCACAATACATTTTTATTATACTTGTTTAAGTAGTCAACTATCTTTTAAAGAGATTTAAATAATAAGAAAAATAATCTTATATACACACTCCTGTAGCTATTTCCAGTGCTTGTCGTTGTGTAGATCCAGATTTCCATCTGGTATCATTTTCCTTCTGCCTGAAGTACCTACTTTAACATTCCTCATAGTGGGGGTCTGCTGGTGATAAATTTTATCAGTTGTGTGTGGAAGCATATTTATTTCATCCTCATCTTTAAAATATATTTTTGACAGATATAGAATTCTAGGTTGACATGTATTTTTCTTTTAATACATTAAGGATGTTTTACTGTCTTCTTGCTTGCAATAGTTCTGATGAGAAATATGATGTTATCCTTATTTTTGTTCCTCTGTAATGTCCTCCCTCTGGCTGCTTTTAAGAGTTTTTTCTTTATCACTGAATTTGGTTATTATGTACCTTGATGTAATGTTCTTCATGTTTCTCATGTTTGGATTTTGTTGAGCTTCTGGAAGGCAGCTTGGTGGGTAACGATGCTGATAGGAGGATTGAATTAGTGATGAGAGCTTATGGATGTTCTCTTCAGATTGCTTCAGTGTTGTCAATGAAGTAGGGAGCAAGGTCACTGGCTGAGACTGAGGACAGAGGAAGAGATGTTGAGCACGAGAGAAGGTATAAAGCTGTCATTTGGGAGGGTAGGAGAATTAATAGAGCAGGGAAAGGTACTGTGGTCTTCAGTCATTTTTAAAGGCCCGCTTAAAATTAGTTATCATGAATTTAAAGTCAGCATGGCTGAGTGTTTTTCTCCTTCCAGTTTTATCTGGAAGGGTTCAGGCACTTAGTAAATACAGTGTTGAAATGGCCAGGATTGTGGTTTTGCCAAGTTTACAGTAACTCAGAGAGGGGCAGGGAGTTGAAGATGTATGCAGGGGATGATTATATTGACTGACCATTGAATATAACTACATCAAACTTCCTCAATCAGAGTGGAAACTATTAGAAGGCAGTTCTTTGCATCTAGAAGGTGTTGAATGTGTATTTGCTGGCCCATGTATGGGTATGTCTTAACAGTAGAAAACCAGGACCTGAAGGAGGTTGTATTATTGGAGCAAATTAACTCTGTTTTCCAGTGAAATGCTCTGTGAAGATCTTAACATGGGATACGCAGCTTTGCCTGTCTTGGCTCCGCCCAATTAGGTCAGCCTTCCTTACACCAACACCAGAGGTACTGGACTTCTTCCACTCCCTTGCATTTGCCACACACCTTTGCATATGTGGCTTCCTCTGCAGGAAGGCTTTACCTGTTCCTGGTAATTTACTCATCCTTGCTTTTCAGCTTTCCTAGTAATTCAAATATTCCTGTAAGTTTAGTATCTATTTAGTATGACTAATTGTTAGCACTTGTCAGAGTTTTAATTTGACATTTGTATTGTTGGTAACTGTTTGCTATTACAGAGTAAGCTTCCTGAGGACAGGGACTTCACCTGTTTTAAGAGTCTGCTGAATATAACATAGTCTCTGGCACATTGGTAGGTAGTAATAAATATATATATATATTTTTTAAGAAGATGTTGGGGGTAGGAGTTTATTAATTAATTAATTTTGCTGTGTTGGGTCTTCGTTTCTGTGCGAGGGCTTTCTCTAGTTGTGGCAAGCGGGGGCCACGCTTCATCGCGGTGTGCGGGCCTCTCACTATCGCGGCCTCTCTTGTTGTGGAGCACAGGCTCCAGACGCGCAGGCTCAGTAGTTGTTGCTCACAGGCCTAGTTGCTCCGCGGCATGTGGGATCCTCCCAGACCAGGGCTCGAACCTGTGTCCCCTGCATTAGCAGGCAGATTCTCAACCACTGCGCCACCAGAGCAGCCCAGTAATAAATATTTTTTAATAAAAATATCTTCACAGAGGTGAAAGCAAGTGTGACATGTCAAGTTTGGTGTGGGGAACAACATCTTGCTTTCCGAGAATTCACAAGAACCTGGCTAATGATACATGCCTATCCTCCAAAGCTATGCCCGGAACCCTGCCGACAGGGGAGCCAAGGGAAGACACGCCAAGAGCCTTTTTATCTCATAGCGTAAGCCAGATCTTGGGAGGCGCCTGCGCACTGGCCTCGGCGGATGTACGCAAGGGAATGGGGCGGGGCTGGGGTAACCTAGGCAACATCCCGGAAGTGGCGGGCTGTGTTAACTTGTGGCCGGCCGGGCGATTCTGGAGCCTGGAGTTTTAGTCGTGGTGGAGGCAGCAGTCAGGAAACTGCAAGGCAAGTTGCGACGACGGGGCGGAGGCCTGCAGCCCGCCCCACAGAATCTTAGGGACAGGGGGTACAGGGCGGGGCGAACGGTCGTGGCGTCTTCCTCTCTGTTCCCTGGGTATCCAGGCGCCTGGGTTGAGGATCCTTACTACGGAAAGTGCACCCGCGACTCCGTGTGTTTTGCGAGTGTGTGTGCGTGTTAGCATGCCTGTCTGGGTGTGTTTGTGTTTAGCGCGCTCTCCCAGGAGCATCCTGAGTGTGCGCGTGCGCACCGCTTTCGGGCACTTAGCGCAGAGCTAGAAATTGGGGTACCCTAATGTAGTTTTCAAGGAATTTCCGGTCTCATGGGAGAGAGACAAACTACCCGGGGTACTTGGGGACAGGGAGGGTCATTTAAGTCGAGTTGAAGGTTAGGAAAGGGTTTATCAGGAAGGCCCGCCTGAATGAGTTTTGAAGAGTGAGTGGGAGTTAACCCCGTGGAAAAGGGAGTGGAGGTGTGACGGGTGTTCCAAGCAGAGCGTAAGGAACGGCTGGAACTGTATGGGAAGGCGAGAGCTTTGTTTTAGGATGTGTGGGAGATGTGAGAGGAGAAATGACTGCAAAGAAAGGTCAGCTGGGTCGCACGGAGCGGAGAGATTGAGTGCCGAGCTGAGCTGGATCCCTCTCTGCAGGGGAGCGCTGTTAAAATCATTTGAGGAAGGAAGTAAAGTTTTGAGAGCCATCCTCTATCCATATATCTGGGTAGGAGTGATTGGAGGGATAGTGTTTGGAAAGAGGTCTTGTTTCCCTTTGATCAATTTTGATCAGAGTGGTTTTACTAAATCCCATCGTAACTGACCTTGCTTAAAACACTTCAGTGGCTTCCTATAGGTCTTTAGGTTAGTGTTCAAATTGCTGTGGCTCACAAGGCCATAATCTGGCCTCTGCCTTTCTTTTTTATCCTTTTTCTAGCCTTCCTACCCTCTCAAATCTTTGTTAGTCAAACTGAACCTCTCAAACCCTTTGTAAGTGCCCGACCCCGACCCCGACCTGGAGCATTTTTTCCCCAGCTTCTAACTTTTATTCATAGTTCCGCTCTCAGCTTCAATATTTTTAGGGGAATTAGAGGGAGGAGGTGGCCTTTTTTCTCACTGTGTAGAGTAAAATAGGTATTTCTATGACACTGAATTTACTTCCAACGTTAGCCTTTTATTGCAATTCCTTATTTAATTGCGGTCGGACAAGCTAAGCTCTTTGAGGGTCCAGAGTTATTCTACTTTCTTGCTGTATCTGGTGCCAAGCTCTTGGAAGGTGCTTTCAAAATACTTGTTGAAATAATAGATGGATGATGAAGTAGGAGAGTGAATGAGTGAAAGGAAGATTAATTAGGGGAAATAATGAGAACCTGGACAAGAACATTCATAGTAGAGATGAAAAAAGGGGGACATGAGAGAGATGTTTGAGGGAAAGAATGAATAGATTCTGGTGTCTGATTAGCTTTGAGACAAGAAGGGAGAGAAGGTGATGCTAAGGTTTTAAACTGGAGCAACTGGAAGAAAGGTAATTCTGTACTTCAGCGTTATGCAGCAGACATTTACTGAGCAAGCCAGTTATGTATCAAGAACTAGACATTGGTGGGGAGGGGGCATGGATGCTAAGCTGTATATTGGCCATACTGTATTTGAGATATTTGAGAGATGTGCATGCACAGAAGCCAGTTGGAAATGAGCGTTAGGTGTTTTGAGGAAAGGTGCGCATCCTTGATTTGGGACTAACTTTCACAGTGTATTTGTGTTCCCAGTATGTTGATAGCTTTGCTCAAGGGAGTAGGTGAGATCACTAAGGGAAAATGTGAATTCCCCGTGGTGATCTAGAAAGTAAGCTCCACGAGAGCAGGTGCCATATTAGACTTGTTTACTGTCGTATCTCCAGTGCCCGGCCAGTGCCTGGCATGTGGTAGACTCTCAAAAACAATTATTGGACAAAGAGAGAGGGTGTCCAATGGAAAGAAAAGAAGACTGGGATAGAACTGAGTGAAGATCCTTGATTACATAGTATGTGAATATTGTCTTAGCCTGAAAAGGAGAAAAGAATAGGAGAGAAACCAGGAGAAAGAGTGTTATGGAAGCCAAAGGAGGGGCGAGCTTCCAGGAGTGGGCGTCTCTAGAGATGGAAAGGGCCTGAGAAATAAGGGACCAATAATTTTAGCAATTAGGAAGCTATTAGTATTTTAGATTTTCTCCCAACGAGCCTAGATTTTCTGGGTTATGCTAATTTTATTATTTGACATCTTGGTACTGTAAACCATCAGACTATCTCTATAGTCTCACATTTCAGCATGTAAACTATAGCTCCCTTATGACACCTGGTTCCTGTAAGTGGCACAAAATCCCTTCGTCAGACCACGAAGTCTGATCTTTGGTCAAGAAAAATATGGTCACCTTTACTGGTGATGTTTAAGAGAACACTTTTCAGTGCATAGGTGGTTCCTGTGTTATAAAAGTTTGAAGTATAACTGGGGCTTAGTAAATATAAGTGCTTAAATAGGCCTCTCCTTCATGAAGTTTGTTGGTGAAGGGAAGGTCAGAGATGGGATAGCAGCTTTGTTACACCACTGTGAACTTAACCTCTGCGTACTTAAGATTCAGGGATGGTTTTCAGAATTGAGACTGGTGGAAAAGTATAATATTTTAAATAACTTGAAATAAAGTATTTTAAGAGTAACATGAGTTCATTGTAGAAAGTTTGGAAAATATAGAACCAACCAAAGATAACTTAATTCTAGTAATGTTTTCTAGAATATGCATTATTATAATTAGTCATAATTATGCAGATCTGGTTTTGAGTGTCAGCTCCCAGCTCTGTGCATTATTATTTCTGTGACTTGGAGCAATACCTCAAAAGCACCAGTTTTCTCATTTGGGAAAGGGGGTTAATAATTGTTGCTGACATAATCATTAGTAATCCTTAAGTAGAACTTAGGGTGTGCTAGGTAGGGGTTCTGAGCACCTTGTGCATTTAATTAGTTCCGTTTTACAGCTAGTGGCAGAGCTGGGATGTGAACCCAGACAGTCTGGTTTTAGACTGTACTCTTAACTACTACGCTCCAGTGTGTCTCAGGATAGTATGTGCCTCATCGGGTTGTGGGATTAAATGTGAAGCTTTTAGCACAGGTAAGTGCTTTATTAGTATTGTGTGTGTATTAACATCATGAGAATATACTATATGCGCAGTTCTGTATTCTACTTTTTTTTTTTTTTTTTGCGTTATGCGGGCCTCTCACTGTTGTGGTCTCTCCCGTTGCGGAGCACAGGCTCCGGACGCGCAGGCTCAGCAGCCATGGCTCACGGGCCCAGCCGCTCCGTGGCATGTGGGATCTTCCCAGCCCGGGGCACGAACCCGCGTCCCCTGCATCGGCAGGTGGACTCTCAACCACTGCGCCACCAGGGAAGCTCCTGTATTCTACTTTTTACACTGAACTTTCTATGTATTTTCCTACATTCTTCATAATGTAATTTTAATGAATACATAATTCATCATTTAGACATACTGACATTTTATGATTCCCCTTTGTTTCTGCCAAGTAAATCGAAGATCTAAGTGGTTAAAGAGTAAAATACATAAGAAAGCTTTTTTGAATAACCATTATATTTTTCCATATCTTTTTTAATAACAGCATTGTTGAGATATAACTCACAGACCATAAAATTTAGCCCTTTAAAGTATACAGTTTAGAGTTTTTTAGTATATTCACAGTTTTGCAACCATCACAACTATCTAATTCCAGGACATTTTCATCACCGCCAAAAGAAACCCTGTACCCATTAGCAGTGGCTCTCCATTTCCTCCTCCCCCCAGACCCTCCCAACCACTAATCTACTTTATGTCTTTATGGACTTGCCTATCCTGGACATTTCATATAAATGGAATCATATAATTTATGACCTTTGGTGTCTGGCTTCTTTCTCTTAGCATAATATTTTCAAGGTTCATCCATGTTGTAGCATGTGTCAGTACTTCATTCCTTATTATTGCTAAATAATATTACAGAATATGAATATACAATATTTTATTTATCCCTTCTTCAGTTAGTGGATATTTGGGATGTTTCCACTTTTTGTCTATTAAGAATAATGTTGCTATGAACATTCATGTCCAAGTTTTTGTGTGGACATAAGTTTTCAATTCTTTCAGCTATATATGTGGGACTAGAATTGCTGAGTCATGTAGTAACTCTGTGTTTAACTTTTTTAGGAACTGCCAAACTTTTCCAAAGTGGCTATGCCATTTTGCACTCCCGCTAGTGATATATAGGGATTCCACTTTCTCCACATTCTTGCCAAAGCTTGTTATTTACATCTTTTTGATTATAACCATCCTGGTGGGTGTAAGGTAATATCTCATTATGGTTTTGATTTGCGTTTAATGACTGGTGATCTTGAACATCTCTTCACATGTTTATTGGCCATTTGTAGTATCTTCTTTGGGGAAATGTGTATTCAAATCCCTTAGCCATTTTATTTATTTATTTTTTCTTTCTTTTTTTAAAAAAATTTAAAATTTGTTTTTGGCTGCATTAGGTTTTCGTTGCTGCGCGTGGGTTTTCTCTAGTTGCACCGAGTAGGGGCTACTCTTCGTTGCGGTGCGCAGGCTTCTCATTGCAGTGGCTTCTCTTGTTGCGGAGCATGGGCTCTAGGCACGCAGGCTTCAGTAGTTGTGGCACATGCGCTCAGTAGTTGTGGCTCGCGGACTCTAGAGTGCAGGCTCCGTAGTTTTGGCGCACAGGTTTAGTTGCTCTGTGGCATGTGGGATCTTCCCGGACCAGGGCTCAAACCTGTGTCCCCTGCATTGGCAGGCGGATTCTTAACCACTATGCCACCAGGGAAGCCCCCTTAGCCATTTTAAAATTGGATTTTTTGTTGTTGAGTTGTAAGAGTTCTTTATATATTCTGGATACAAGTTACTTATTAGATATATGATTTGCAAATGTTTTCTCTCATTCTTTTGGTTGTCTCTTCACTTTCTTGATGGTGTCCTTTGAAGCACAAAAGTTTTAAATTTTGATGGAGTCCAATTTATTTTTTTTTTGGTTGATTGTGTTTTTAGTGTCATTTCTGAGAAACCATTGCTCAACCCAAGGTTCATGAAGATTTATGCTTATGTTATCTTCTAGGAGTTTTGTACTTTTAGCTCTTACATTTAAGTCTGAGATTCATTTTAAGTTAATTTTTTTTTACATGTTGTGAGGTAGGGGGTCTTACTTCATTCTTTTTCATATGGATATCCAGTTGTCCCAGCACCATTAATTTAAAAGACTGTTCTTTCCCCATTGAATTGTTTCTTGGCACCCTTGTTGAATACAAACTGACCATAAGTTTAAAGTTTTGTTTTGGACTCTTGGTTCTATTCCATTCCATATCTTTTAAAATGGCATATATGGCTCTGCAATTTACTGTGTGACCTTCCCAGTCAGTTAACTCTTTGTCCCTTAGTTTTCTCATCTATAAAATGAGTAACAAATAGTAAATACTTCATGGGATTAGTGTGAGGATTAAAGGAGATAATATATGGGAAGAGTTTAGAACAGTACCTGGCTTGAAGAAAGTACTTAGTAGCTAATTCCATCATTATAACCACCACCACTGTCATCATCATCGCCATCATCACCATCACTATGATAACACTTAAATGTTATTCTCTAACTTGTATGTGACTTATCTCCTTTGCTGGATTGTACGTTCTGAAATTAGATACCATGCTTAAAGAGTGAATGTGGTTGCTAAGAGTTATAGGACAGAGGGCCAATTCCTGAGAAATACTTGCATTTAGTCATCTTTATTCACAGTAGACTAAATGATTTTTTTCAAAGATGTACTTAAGGAAAATACTAGAGTCTTTGTTTTAGGATAATTTGGAGTAAGGGGGTCAGCTGGAAAGTTCTGTAATTATTTAGGTGTTAAAGAAGTTCTGGAATTGGAGTCATATATATGTGTTGCTTTTTAAAACATATGTGTATCCTCAAATCCTAGTGTTCAGGCACTGTGAGTCTTTTTCTAATTTTGTATGATGTTTAGTCTAATGTCCTTAGCATTGCATTTTAAAAGTGCCAAGCAACTGTTGGCCATTTTCATATTCTAGTTTAGTATCAATAATCACCCCCATTTAGTATTATGTGAAAAATATACTAGAGATCGTATCATAACTCATTAATTCTCTAAACTTTAGCCACCTTTATTTTAAGGTAAGTACGTATGTGTCTGGTAGTGATTTTGAGTGTTAGATGCTTAAAAAAGAACCCCAACTATCTCTTGCTCTCCTTCTCTTACATTCACATTGTTCACATGTGATTGACATTTCCTCTATTCATTGCGAATTTGTGTAACAGGTGACAATGCTTATGACTGCTGTCAGATAGATCTCTGCCTTAGGTCATACTTGCTTCATTCCTAGGGTTCTTTATTAATCACATATATTTAATTTGTTGATTTGAAACCTCTTTTATCATAGTTATCAGTATCAACTTTCTAATAATTATGAAGTGAAAGAACCAAGTCTTTTGGTAGCCTGTTCCTTTCAGTATACTTAAAGTTCTCGTCTGATGTTTTAAAATTTATTTTCTTAGATATCTTTTTCCCTCTCTGGTGATGATTAATTATTAGTTTTTCATGTATTTTTAAAATTTTATATGATTATTACTCCTAGATGTCATTTGTCAGAGTGAACCGTTACGGTCCCCGTGGAGGAGGAAGGAAAGCACTGAAAGTAAAGAAGAAGAAAATGTCAGTAAAGCAAGAATGGGATGTAAGTCTAGGTGGGATAATACATGGTATAACGTTACATGGAAGGAATAAATGTGATGACATGGCCTTAGTCACTCAGGATGGTGCTCTGAATGGGGCTTAGCATGTGATATGGTGGAATGGGTTTCTGGGCATGTTATTGGGTTGGCCAAAACGTTTGTTTCGTTTTAAGTAAAAATAAAAGACATTTTTCATTTTCACCAAGAACTTTATTGAACAACGTATTCATTAACTGAATGAACTTTTTGGCCAATCCCATATCCTAGGTCTTGGAGGGAAGAGCAGATGCCTTTGGGGAATTTTTAAAAAATATGCATGTTGAGGCTATAGCTCTACCTCTTTTTAAGAATTGAAATCTTGGGGCTTCCCTGGTGGCGCAGTGGTTGAGAATCTGCCTGCCAATGTAGGGGACATGGGTTCGAGCCCTGGTCTGGGAAGATCCCACATGCCGTGGAGCAACTAGGCCCGTGAGCCACAGCTACTGAGCCTGTGCGTCTGGAGCCTGTGCTCTGCAACAAGAGAGGCTGCAACAGTGAGAGGCCCCCGCACTGCGATGAAGAGCGGCCCCCACTTGCCACAACTAGAGAAAGCCCTCCCACAGAAAGGAAGACCCAACATGGCCAAAAATAAATTAATTAAAAAAAGAAAAGAAGGGAAGGGATTTCCTTTCTCTTCTCTCCTTTAAAACAACAACAACAAAAAAAAACATGAAATCTTAAGTGGGTGGGGAGTGTGTTTTTAAAAAGTCCCTCACCTCTACTTTGAGAACTCACTGCTTTAAGGCAACTGTAGTTAACCTGAAATCTGAAATTTTTTGGTACATATTTTAGATTTGTCCATAGCAATCTGTGATATCATAATCATGTGAGTGGCATTTTTGACTGAAAAAGTGGGTGATCCTTGCTGTCTTAACCCTCAAATTGTTTTTTGCTCATCTCCAGAGATTTGTCAATTTCAGTACAAAGGTTCTCGTAAGATGTAAGACTGGTCTCAGGTATCTGAGACATGATCCCTGGCTCCTACCCTGAGTACCACTTGGTATTATCAAGGGGATTTTTATCTTTTGGAGTTGGGTACTTTGGTTTGGACCATGAGACTTTGGATACTTTTACTTTCTGTTGTGAAGATTAACTGGTCAGGGACTAGTTTGGATCTTAGGGATTCTTTTGGACTTAGAACCTTCTGTGTTGTGGCCAACCACCTTAGCCAGGTATCCTGGGCAAACTGACAGCCTTAGAAAGTGGGGCAGGGGGATTTCTCTCTGTTTAGATTGCTTTGTTGCCGTGTGATTGGCTATAAAATAGTATAAGGATATGACTCTAAGGTAATGATACTGATTAAAAGGTGAAAAAATACACCTTAACATTTATGTTATCATAATGTTAACATTATGTTATCATGAAAAAATGATAACATAAGTTGTCCCCTTCAGAGCGGTTACTTTGGGAAGTTCCATATTTATTTTGCTATGCTACTGTTGCTCAAAACATAATTGAAAACCATTATTTGAAATTGCATTCAGAACCTTCCTCATTTACTTTATATTATCTCCAGTGGTGGAAAAAACTTTGTTTTCTGAAGGTAGATGGAACTTGAAAGTAGTTATAGCTCATTTGGTGTGAATGGTAAATGCGGAAGGAGAGATCAACTGAATAATACTGTTTTGATGAAAATATTGAGGCATTTTCTGAAATGGCTTGTAAATTAGATTTAAAGGCAATTTCAGAAGAAAATACAGTTGACCCTTGAACAACATGGGGGTTAGGGGCACCGACCCTCTGCACAGTCGAAAATCCACGTATAACTTTACAGTTGGCCCTCTGTATCTGTGGTTTTGCGTCCATGGATTCAGCCAACTGTGGATTGCGTCACACTGTAGTATGTATTGAAAAATATCGACACATAAGTAGACCTGTGTTCAAACCCATGTTGTTCAAGAGTCACCTGTAGTTTTAAGCAATAGTAGTATAAATGAAATTATATTTTCTCCCATGAAAGCTGATTCCAAGCATATCACTTATATGCCTAAATTTTTATTATGATTATTAAAAACAATTCTCGGGAATTCCCTCATGGTCCAGTGGTTAGGACTTGGCACTTTCACTGCCGAAGGCCCAGGTTCAATCCCTGGTCGGGGAACTAAGATCCCATAAGCCACGTGGCATGGCCAGAAAACCCCCCCAAAAAACAAAAAAAAACAATTCTCATGATCTTACTGTTGTATCTTGTACTTTTCTAAATCAATATGGAAGGAATAACAGTTTTAGTAGATAAAAGACTTGAGCTAAATACAAACTATGGCCCAAAGGTTAAGTCTTTGAATACATCAGAAGCTATTTCACTAGGCTCAGTTCTGTATATTTCTCTTAGAATTAGAAGTCTACATTGCTTTTTTCCCTGCCTTACCAAATCTGTATAACACAAATGGCTGAAGTCATTTTGGAAAGGACCAAATTGCAGGGCTGCTACTCAGAGCTGTGCAGGCTGTGCACTGCACAATTCCAAGGGGCACTATTTACATGGCCTGTGATATCAACGGAACCACCTGAGTTGTGCAATGTGGAAGCCCTGCCATTTGGTTTAGTGCCTTTTTACTTGAGTGACTGTTTTCACATTTTATGAAATAATACAATACCCTCAAAATTTGTCTCTCGTTATGATAGGTTCTATGCTTAAGGTGTTGGCATGCCACAAATTGAACCTCTACTTTTTGAATAATGTACTACCTGGTTGTTTTCATTATTTTAATATAATGTATGCTTGCTTGGTGAATTTATTGCTTAATTTCTGTGAGACACTTAAAAATAGTCAGTTATTTTCTACAAGACACCTAAAAGTAATCCATGTTAATATTTAAATTGAGAATTTAATTCTCAAGGAAAGACTTTCTGGTCTCAGGATTTTGAATCCATTTTCAGCCATTAAAATTCAGCATATACTAATATTTTGTAAGAAACCTTTTGCTTTTTAAAGAAAGTTCATCCTTTTTTTTTTTTGCAGAACACTGTAACTGATCTAACAGTTCATCGGGCAACTCCTGAAGATCTGGTAAGTTTACTATTGAAAGTTAAATCGTTTGTTCATCCTCTTATTTGATATTTGATACTTGATACTTCTAACCTACAGAATAGAAACCAGAGGCACTTCTTAGAAGTTGTTCAGTTATTTTTAATCTTGCTTATGTCTATATAAAATCAAAAAGTGTATGTCCTGGGCTTCCTTATTTTACTTAGGCATATCAGTTAGCATGCATTATAATTTCATTAGATAGGTTTGGTTTACAGTTCAAATCTCTCTAGTCCAGTATTTTCCTGTACACATTTATCGTCTTTTCCTATCTGTAGATATCACTAGCATTATTTACCATTACTTCCCTATACAAAAACATACATTATAATTTATTTCTTGAACATGCCATGTACATTTCCACATTTGAGCCCCAGTTCCTGCTATCCTCTTTACTTGGAACAGTTTCCCTACCTTCTTCTCCTCCTCTACAAATCTTACTTTGCTTCCTTATCCTAGTTCAAGTTTTACTTTAAAAAAAAAAGCTTTTATTACAGGTTTGTTTGTTTTTTTAAACAGCTTTATTAAGATATAAATCACATAACATAAAATCCACCCTTTTAAAGTGTACAATTCATTGCTTTTTAGTATATTCACAGAGTTATGCAACCATCATCACTTTCTAATTTTATAACATTTTCCTCACTCCCCCAAAAGTAACCCTTTATCCATTGACAGTCACTCTCTGTGCCCCACCCTTCCAATCCCTGGCAACAACTAATCTGTTTTATGTCTCTATGGATTTGCCTATTCTGGACATTTCATATAAATGCAATATAACATGTATTCTTTTATATCTGGCTTCTTTCTTTTAGCGTAATGTTTTCAAGGTTCATCCATGTTGTAGTATCGGTACTTCATTCCTTATTATTGCCAAATACTATTTTGTTTACGGATATACCATGTTTTATTTATCCATTTATCAGTTGTTGGACATTTGGGTTGTTTCTACTTTTTGACTGTTATAGATAATGCTGCTATGAATATTCATGTACAAGTTTTTGTGTGAACATACGCTCTTAGTCTCTTGGGCATATACCTGGAAGCAGAATTGCTGAGTCATATGATATCTCTATATTTAACTTTCTGAGGAACTGCCAAACTGTTTTCTAAAGTGGCTGCACCATTTACATTCTTACCAGCATGTATGAGGGTTCCAATTTTTCCACATCCCTTGCCAGCATTTGTCATTGTCATCTTTTTGGTTTTAGTTCCCTAGGGGGTATAAAGTGGAATCTCATTGTAGTTTTGATTTGCATTTCCCTAATGACTAATGACATTGAGTATCCTTTCATATATTTATTGGCCATTTGTAGTATCTTCTTTGGAGGAATGTCTCTTCAAGTCTCTTAGTTATTTAAAAATTTCCATAGGAAATATGTGACAACTATGAACTGGGCTTGATGAAGAGAGGGACACAAAAAGTAAAATAAAATAAAAATAAAATTGGATTATTTGTGTTTTTATTGTTGAGTAGTAGGAGTTCTTTATATATTCTGGGTATGTTTCTTATCAGATATATGATTTGCAAATATTTTCTTCCATTCTGTTGGTTGTGTTTTAGCTTTCTTGATAGTATCCTTTGAAACGTAAAAGTTTTAAATTTTGATGAAGTCCAATTTATCTAATTGTTTTCTTTTGTCACTTGTAGCTTTAGTGTCATATCTAAGAAACCATTGTCTAACCAAGGTTCACAAATATTTACTTCTATGTTTTTGTCTAGGAGTTTTAAAGTTTTGGCTCTCATGTTTAGGCCTTTCATCCATTTTGAATTAATTTTTGTGTATGGTGTGAGGTAGGAGTCCAGCTTCATTCTTTTGCAAGTGGATATCCAATTGTCTAAGCACCATTTATTAAAAAGACTGTTCTTTTCACATTGAATTGTCTTGGCACCCTTGTTGAAAATCAATTGTCTGTAAAGATGAGGGTTTATTTTGGACTCTCATTTCTATTCCACTGATCTGTATGTCTATCGTTATGCTAGTACCATACTCTCTTGATTATTGTAGTACGTTTGAAGTCCTACTCTTTGAAGCTGCCTAACAGTTGCTTTCTTCTCTGAACTGTTGTACTTACTACCTACATAAGGCATTGAGTATATGCCATCTAATGCATGTCATTTGTCTTTATATGCATATGTCCAATCTCTGGGCAGATTATTAATGTTTTTGAGGGATAGAGGCCGTATCTTAATGTCTTTGTGGGCCTAGGAATCTTAATTGTAGTAGGTACTCATTAAATGTTTGTTGAGGATAATAATGATGCCCTGATGACTTAAAACTTTTTTATTATGAAAAATTTCAAACTCGCGTGAAAATAGCGACAAAAGTATAAAGAACTCCCATATACTGTTCACCTAGATATAATAGGTATGAAAATTTTGCCATACTTGTTTCATTTATCTTACCCTTTGCTTCTTCACTGGAGCATTTTAAAGCAAAGCCCAGAGGACATGTCATTTTTTGTCTACATATTCAGTTTGCGTTAAAAAAAATAGATATTTTCATATATAACCATGATACCATTATCATGCCTGACAAAAGTAACACTAATATTTTGGTATTACCTAATCCCAATCCATATTCAGATTTCCCCGATTGTCTCAAAAATGTCATCTTCATTTGTTCTTTGTGAATCAGAATGCTTACATAATATTTGGTTGTTAGTCTCTTAATGGACTGATTTCATATTTACATGGTGCAAACTCAGTAGTACATTTTATCAGATGACATACAGGTTTTGTTCATATTCATAGTTCTGAATACTAGAGTGCTTGTAAAGCCAATATCTGCTTTTGTTCCTTAGCCACCTTAGTGAACTCCTCCCGTCTAACTCTTAAGCTGTGGCTCATATCTCTGCTTCTGCTTCTGGAATTCCACTTCCTTGGAGTCCTGCATCTCCATGGACCCACTTCCACATGCAGCCATTGCAGGGCTATAAAAACACTGCATTGTGAGCTCTTGGTGGTGATGTGAATATCATGGAATGGGTTTGCCTTTGCCAGAGATAACTCAGTGGATTTTGTGCCTTTTATGTCATACTCAGTCTGTGTGTGTGTGTGTGTTTATAATTGTACATGTACACACATATGTAACTGAAAAATTTAACAAAAGAATTCTTTTTTTTTTTTTAATTTATTTATTTATGGCTGTGTTGGGTCTTTGTTTCTGTGTGAGGGCTTTCTCTAGCTGTGGCAAGCGGGGGTCACTCTTCATCGCGGTGCACGGGCCTCTTATTATCGCGGCCTCTCTTGTTGCGGAGCACAGGCTCCAGACGCGCAGGCTCAGTAATTGTGGCTCACGGGCCCAGTTGCTCCGTGGCATGTGGGATCTTCCCAGACCAGGGCTCGAACCCGTGTCCCCTGCATTGGCAGGCAGATTCTCAACCACTGAGCCACCAGGGAAGCCCCAACAAACGAATTCTTAACTTTTATTATGTGCAATGTGTTCTTAATATTTTCTATTCTATATTCTATTTTATTTTTTAAAAATGTTGGTTTTCATCCACTAATTTATTTTACCACCCATTAAGTGAGTCCCAAGATGCAGTTTGCAAAACACTACTTTATTGGATAGTCTTGTACAAAAGAAGTAGAAATTAATATTCTTTCATTTTGTGTTTTAGCTAGGTCTACTAGTTTGTTTTATTTATTTATTTTTTGGCCATATCACATGACTTGTGGCATCTCAGTACCCGACCAGGGATTAAACCCAGGCCACAGCAGTGAAAGCCCAGAATCCTACCCATTAGGCCACCAGGGAACTCCCTAGGTCTACTAGTTTTAGATACTTCTTTTTCAAAAAATCATTTTTGAAAAAAAAATCATTTTTGAAAATTTAGGAGATGGTGAAAATTTTGTGAATATATGTATGTGTGTAATGTGTGTAATATATATATACATATACTGGACTAGAAAAAATTTTAAAAATGAACTAGGTTAGGTTGTCCTACCATCTGAATAGGCAAGTTCTTTGTTCCTGAAACATTCTTTTATATATTTTTTCTTCCATATAGATCCGTCGTCATGAAATACACAAATCGAAGAATAGAGCATTAGTACACTGGGAGCTCCAAGAAAAAGCTTTGAAGAGAAAATGGAAGAAGCAGAAACCAGAAATTTCTAATCTTGAGAAAAGGAGATTGTCTATCCTGAAGGAGGTAATGCTAAACTGCATCATCTGTAGACTTAGAAAGAAAAGAAGAGGTAAATAGGTGTCTCTCTTTTTCCGCGTATTTGATTCACATCGGACAGACTCTAATCATTATCGTGTCCTTACGCAATGATCTACAGGTAGACTTTGGAAGAAGGAGCAGAGTGACGATTATAGTCTAGTTTTGTGATTTGAATTCCCGCTCTTCAGCTTACTAGCCAGGTGACCTTAAATTGTTAACTTCTCAGCCTGAATTTTCTTATCTTTAAACTGGAGTAACAGTATTTGCCTGATTGTATTGTTAGGAGATTTCAGTGATAAAATATTACTAAAGTGATTAGGACAGTCCTTGGCACATAATTAGTGTCATATATATATATAAAGCTGCTATAATTATTCTTCTCAGTTCAACAGCGATGCTGTTAGATTACTTTGCAAAAAAAAAAATGTGTGCTAGTCCAACAAATTAGTAAGGCACTTGTCTTTGGCTTAATCTTTTGTCAGATGTAGGGTGTTTGAATAAGTAATCAGAGTGGGTAGGAATACATATTATGGAAAATAAGAGGAAACTGCAGCAAAACCCTTCTTTTATTTGGACTGAAGTCATTGTAAAAGAAATGCCTGTTTTCTTCTTGTTCAGTGTTGGAGCTTATGGCACTTGGCTGTCTGGGTGACCTGCTGCTTTAAGTCGCATTCTGTCTTTTGAGGAATTTGTTAGGCTTCTTAGTGAAATATGAAAGTCATGACTTTATATATCATGAGGAAGAAGTATATCTCCCAAATAAATGTTTACATGAGCTTGTAAAAAGAACAGTGGATTGAGAGAATGGTTCTTTAGAGGTACGTATCTTTTGATGATCTTAGGCAAGTCACCTACATTTAAATGTTACATGGTAATTCTCCATGAAAGGCCTAAGAACACAGATCTGGCCAGGGAAAAAGGCAGCCCCTTTGAGGTGACTCTGGGCTTTAGTTTCCCCTCCCTAGTGGCCCCTGCTCATGTCCTGAATCCCTTATACCTTGTAGATGTGGTAGAATTAGGGATTGAAGAAGAGTGGTAAGAGAGGGTGAGTGAAATTTCTCTGCCTTCTTTCTGTAATGCGGCTTCTTCATGGCCTAGCGTAGTGTTTATCAACTCTGACTGATTGTAATTTCCATTTAAAAAATTCCCATTTGGGTTTCCCTGGTGGCGCAGTGGTTGAGAGTCCGCCTGCCGATGCAGGGGACACGAGTTCGTGTCCCGGTCTGGGAAGATCCCACATGCCGTGGAGCGGCTGGGCCCGTGAGCCATGGCCACTGAGCCTGCGCATCCGGAGCCTGTGCTCCTCAACGGGAGAGGCCACAACAGTGAGAGGCCCGCGTACCGCAAAAAAAAAAAAAAAAAAATTCCCATTAAAAAAAAAAACAGTATCTGGACTCAGACATATTTATACTCAGGTATTCTAATTCAGTGGATCTGGGATGCAGCCCCACTTAGGTATTTTTAAGACAGTTGCTATGTAATTTTTAATATTTTGCTAGGGTTGAGAACCTCTGCTATTAGTGGGATTTAGGCATTTCCCTTTAACAACATATTTTGGAGGTTTTGCTATGTCAGTATTTAGAAATCTACCTCTTCTTTTTTAATGGCCAGGTAGTATATGGATATACCACAATTTATTTATCTAGTGCTTTATTAGTGGACATTTGGGATGTGTATCAGAGCATGGTATAAGCACCTGGAAAAAAAGAAGACCCCAGAATATACTGGTTTAAACAAAATAGAAATCTATTTCACTTTTATGGAACAGCTCAGAAATACATGGTAGTGGTAGGGGGATCTCTGGTCCTTTATTACAGGGCTTCCATGTCTGAGTTTGCAGTGGCTGTTCCAGCTTCCTTCAGATGTTTCCCAGGCAGCATGAAGTGGGGAAGAGAATGCACGTTACTCCCTTTACGTATCACCCAGAAGCTCTGGCTTCTATCCCATTGTCCAGAACTTCATCAAGTGACCACTGTCACCTGCAAGGGTGGTTGGGAAATTAGCTATGTACTTGGCTAACTTGGGAGTTCTGCTGTTAAAGAGAAAACAGAAAGAAAGGCTATTGGTGGATAAGTAGCAGTGTCTGCCACCGACAGATTATTTCCTGCCTTGTCACTATAAATGATGTAATGAATATCCTTGAATATGTTTTTGAGTACATGTATAAATATATGTGTAGGATAAATTCTTAAAAGTGGAATTGCTGAGTCAAAGGATTCGTACATCTATTATTTCAGTGTTGCTATATTTGTAATGTCTGTGATAAGGTATGTGAGGGGACCAAAGGAAGAGTCCTCCTTGGGCATATCCACCTAGGTTTTATCATTATGTGTTAGAGCTACCAGGACCCGTCCCCCAGAAGCTGGGCTCCTAGATTAACGTAAATTAAGAAAAAAGCTCTTTGACCAGCATAGTCTTAGATTTCATTTGCTGTATGATCCACTCATGCCATGGGAATCAAGCAAATAAGAGTCCAAATCCAAATCAGAGAGGGGTGGCTTTGATAAAGATTTTGTAAATTTTAAAAGTATATTAACTAACCTAGTCTCTTTGTACTTTCCCAATTCTGTCTGGTTTTCATTACCAGAGAGCAAAACTGCTAGCATGAGAAGTTTCTAATAATGTTTTTGAAGGGACCTTGACTGATCTTTTGAAAATCCAAGATGTATTCTTGGATTAAGTTTGGTTTTGTGCTCTGCAAACCCATCTGGGGAATTAATATATACAGATGGGCCTGCAGAGATTGATTTGCCTATCATGAGGAGGAGTTTTATCATAGAGGAGTGATAAAGAAATCCAGAAGGAGCAACAGAAAGCCAATGCTCTGACCTCTGGCCACTCAAGCTGTCTGCCCCAAGGAGCCTGGGCAGGGACTAGCAGGGAGAGGGCTGCAGGGCAGTGGGTTTTCTGGAGACCTCATTATAATTAGTATCAGGTCTTGATATGATAAAATTATTCCTCCACAATCTGCTTCTTTCAATTTATATCTCTTCATTTTGATAGGAAGTCAGTACCTTTTTTAAAAATAGTAAACAAAACTGCTGCTAGGAAATATATTTTGTATAATTTTTCTAGTATAAATGGTAGATTATAGTGCTCCATTTACTTTCTCTCCTAAACTCTAATTGCATGTGCTACAAGATGGCTAACCAGGGATGAAAATTTAAGTTGTAACAACATTCTCAAATATCTCTAGAATTGTATACAGATTTAGTATACACTTTTGTATCTCTTGACAGGGCCTAGGATGCCAGTCTTCTGACTCCAAACGTGCTCTTTGTCCTGTGCCATTCCAAAACTAACTCTTTGTGGAGAGAACAGATTCAGGACTTTATTCTCACTAACAGAGCCAGCCAACATGCTTGGCTTTAGCAGGGGAAGAAGGGGGAAAAAGTCAGAATGTGACTCTTGTTATTTTTCTTCATGTCCTAAAACAGTAACTGAGGTCACATTGTATGCTTGTTTCCATGGTCTAGAGAAATTCTGGTAAGAGCATTTGTTACCAGATGTTTTGATTTGAGTCAGTGTTGGAAACTGGAAAATTTCCAATTTTGAGACTCCTTTCAGCCTAAGAATGCGATCTGGTGGTGGTAGGTGTTGACTTGGTTTCACTCTAGCCCGTGCATCCTTGCTTGTAACTGGGAAAATTCCTAAGTTGAAAGTGTATAATCAGAGACACCGCCGTATTGGTATTTTTTGAGTTCTCATTTTTCCAGAATAAAAATCGAGCTTGTTTATAAATGCAGAAGCATCACTTTTTTGTTTAATGCCCCCAAAGTCGTGTCTCACGTCGTGTTTTTTAAGTTGTGGGTCATGACCCATTAGTGGATTATGAAATCACTTTAGTGGCTGAAACACCAAAGAGCCACACATCTGAGTTTATGGCTCAAAGATTCATGTTTAATCAGTGTTTTTCAAACTGTGGATCACAACTTTTTAATGGATTATAAAATCAAGTTAGTGGATTGCAACCATCATTTGAAAAAATAGAATAGAAACTAAAAAGAAAATATCAGAGTGGTTATCAAAGAGTAAGTTTAAGCAAAGCTTTTATTTTGGTGTTTGTCTACATTTGTGTGTGGACTGGGTCATAATTTAATAATGTATTTCTTTGGATCAAAGCCAAGCATTTGAAATCCACTAATTATTATAATAGCTCCATCTACTGGTACTTAATGATATTGCCGCTGAAGGATTTGAGATGATTTTTAAGCTCCTGCCTTTGTATGGACTTTTCCTTTGTGATTTATTAAGTATATATATTTTTTCTGAATAATAATATTTATCACTAACATGTGTCTAGATTCTTAATGACCAATACCAGATGCAGGATGTATTGGAAAAATCTGATCATTTGATGGCTACAGCAAAAGATCTGTTTGTTGGTTTTCCTCGTAGACGCACAGGTAAAGTAGTCACATCACACAAAAGTTTCTTTATCTTATTCATCAAAGCCCAACCTGGCTGTTTGAAAGAATTTAAAATCTTTTCTCAGGCATCATATTATTTCTATCACATGTGTTCTAGGGTGGATAGCATACAAGAGTTGTTAGACATAGATTAATTACAGTTTATTTGCTTTTCACTAAGAATATTAACTATTACAAATTACTCAAGTTAAGGAAAGGTAAATTGTTATTATTTACTAAAACATTTTGCGAAATGTATAAGATTTCATAATTTAAGGTATGATTTCATTTTCAGCTTATTAATATTAAATTACCGTATAATTAAAGTATCTACTTTGTATGTAATTTCAGTGAAGCTTAATTTGAAAACTAAAGCAACTTCAGTGTCTCTCTAAAAGGAACTTTGCCTCTTGTGAGATGCACAACATTATTCACTTTAATGTGTATATAATCTGTTGTTTATCTTAATTCCTAAAAACAGATCATTAGTTTTTAGTTTAAGGTTTGAATCCTGGCTTGGCCGCTCGCTAGTGTGACTCTGTGCCTGTTGCTTCACGTCTCTGAGTTTCAGTTTACCCATATGTAAAATAATGATACTAATAACCTCATAGGATTTTGTGAGGGTGAAACAATTTAATATATGTAAAAGCATTTAGAACAATGCCTGGCATATAGTAAGCACTGTTTAAGTGCAAGTTGCTATTATTATTATTTAAGATTTTCATACGATAATTCAGACCTATGGCAGTGTATAGTATGTGTGAAGTCAATTTAATTAAATGAAACAAAGTCATCATGACTTATTTTCCTTCTGCAGGGTTTCCGAATGTAACAATGGCTCCTGATTCCTCTCAAGGTCCCATTGTGGTAAATCAAGACCCTGTCACCCAGGCCATCCTTAGTGAATCTGTTATTGAGCCTCAGGTAATGTGCTTTGCTCACAGCCATAATGCTCATGCTGAAATTCAGTTTAAGTTGATGTAGATAGGCATAGTGGTAAACATTTCAAAAGCTTTATACTATCTAAATACCAAGTTGTGGTTGCTAGAATTGTTCTTACTCAAGCATAGTGCACTTTCTATGAGTAATGCTTGTACTAAACAAGATAGGACTAGATAATAATAGCTAACATTTATTGAGTGCTTACCTAGGAGGTAGTTACTATTATCCCCATTTAGCAGATGGAAAAACTGAGGCTCAGAAAAATTAAGTAAGTTGTCCAGGATCACATAGCTAGTTAGCATGAGAGATGGCATTCAAATCTAGGCTGTCTGGCTCCATGAGACTGTGTCACCCAGAGATGTAGAGAACAAACGAATGGACACCAAGTGGGGAAGTGGGGGTGGTGGTGGTGGTGGTATGAATTGGGAGATTGGGATTGACATGTATAGTATACACTAATATGTATAAAATAGATAACTAATAAGAACCTGCTATGTAAAAAATAAGTAAATAAAATTAAATAATAAAAAAAAAGACTGTGCACCATCTACAAATATGGAAACAGCAAGAGAGTCTTTCCACATCCCACTTTGGAGTCAGGTGAATCTATGTTCATATTCTGTTACTAAGTAGTTGTTCGATGTTGAGTTGATTTCTCAAGGTATCTGAGTTGGCTCAGAGAGTTTTTTGTTAAATGGGAATAGAATATACCTGCTATGGTGGTTGTGAGGATCAGCTCAGATAGGTTATGTAAAGTGTTGAGCATAATACCAGATATTAGTTCTTCATTAAATCTTTGTCCCTTCTTTTTTTAAAAATAAATTTATTTATATTATTTATTTATTTTTGGCTGCTTTGGGTCTTCGTTGCTGCACGTGGGCTTTCTCTAGTTGCAGTGAGTGGGGGCTACTCTTCGTTGGGAGCTTCTCATTGCAGTGGCTTCTCTTGTTGCGGAGCATGGGCCCTAGAGCACGCGGACTTCAGTAGTTGTGGCACTGGTGCTCTAGAACACAGGCTCAGTAGGTGTGGCTCACGGACTTAGTTGCTCTGCGGCATGTGGGATCTTCCTGGACCAGGGATCGAACCCCTGTCCCCTGCATCGGCAGGTGGATTCTTAACCACTGCGCCACCAGGGAAGCCCCAAAAGAATATTTCAGATATCTGAAAGTCAGTGAATTAGTTCTAATGTATCAGTATGTTTAAAAAGCAGCTACCCAAGAAACTTTGAATTTATTGACTAGTTACATGGGAAAAGTATAATAGTAAAACATTCATTAGCTGTATCTTAATCTAATTGGAACTCTTAATTAATCAAAATGTTTAGAATTTTGAGATAGGAAACATTTTTTAAAAGCCCATGAAGAATTTAATACTAAAATAAGTCAACTTTTTAAGAATGACTAGGTCTCAGTACCTGTTTAATGCAATTTCCTAAGTTATTTGTATCTTTTATGAAAAAAAGGAGAATCATCAATTAGATGGATGATCCTAGGGAGTTACAAGGTCCAGAATCATATAAATATACCGTTTTCTACTTATAAAGGCAATTAAGTAGAATGTTACACATATTTTTAATAGCCAAAGTCCATTAGCCATATCCCTAGCCAAAAGCCATGTATGTTTTGGCACTTATTAAAAAGTTAGCTTTCTGGGCTTCCCTGGTGGCGCAGTGATTGAGAGTCCGCCTGCCGATGCAGGGGACATGGGTTCGTGCCCCGGTCCGGTAAGATCCCACGTGCTGTGGAGTGGCTAGGCCCGTGAGCCATGGCCGTTGAGCCTGCGCGTCCGGAGCCTGTGCTCTGCAACGGGAGAGGCCACAACAGTGAGAGGCCCAAGTACCGCAAAGGGGAAAAAAAAAAAAGTTAGCTTTCAAATGATCATGGTCTCTATGATGAAGGTTGGGAAGTGGCAAGAGGCAAGGTAAGAGAGACAAGAAGGAGCTGGGTCACGAAGGGCTAAGGAACCAGAAAGCAAGAGTAGAGCCACTAAAGGATTTTAAGAAGAGCACAGTCATGGCAAAATTGACAGTAACGTGGAAGATGGATTGGGGAGGGAGGGACAAGACTGGTGAGAGGATCTGGTTAGAAGACTCACATTGGAATCTTAGCGAGAAGTGGTGAGGACTGACCCAAAGCAGTGGCAGTAGGGAAGAAAGTAGTGGGGAAGAGGGATAGATTTGAGAGATGAAGAAGGGATAGAATTGACAGGATTGGGTGATTGATTGGATGTGATGGATGAGGAAGAAGGATAATTTCCAGTTTGCTGGCTTGAGAACCTGAGTAGATAGTGATGCTGTTTATGGTCTTGGTAACATGACAGGAACAAGGTTTCTGGAAGAATGATAGTAGAGGCTTAGGAAAATGATGAATTTTAGACATGTTGAGTATATGTGTGTAGGATGTTCTCCTAGGGGTATCTTTTAGGCAGTTGGATATAAATGTTGAGGGCTCAAGAGAGATCTGAGTGAAGCTAGAAATTTGGAAATTAACAGCATTTGGCTCGTAATTGCACCTTGGAATTAGATATAATCATACAGAAAATGAGTCAGATGAGAGGAGAAAAGGTCCAAAGGGAGAACCTTGAGTGACATCAGAAAAAGGGAAGGGTAGGAAAGGAACCAATAAAGGAGATTGGGAAGGAATGGCCAAAAGAAGAAAAACCAAGAAAATATGGTATCATGGAAGTGGAAAAGAAAAGTTTATCTTCCTCAAAAGAAGATTTTGAGGGAAAGAAATGAGTGGTCATTGATGTCTAATGAGTCAGAAGTAAGGGAAGGCAAAGACAGAAATATCCATTTGATTTGGGAACAGGTGTGTTGATGTTGACCATGTAGAGAACAGCTTAAATGGGGTGGCAGGGCAGAAGCAAAGTTGCAGGGCATAAATGGTGAATGAGAAGTGGCGGGCAGCTTTTTCAAGAAGTTTGTTGCACAGAAAGAGTAGATGGTAGCTCGAGGTGAGTATAGGGTACGGATAAGATGGCAAAGACTTAGATTTAAATGTGGATGAGCTGAAGCCAGTAAGGAGAAGTTGAAGATGCAGGAGAGAGAAGCGGCAATTGATGGACTAGAAGGAGGTAAGAGGGTTTGGGTTCTAGACCACATGTGGAGGGATTAGCCTTAGAAGGAGGGATCTCTCTTCTGTTATGACACAAAAAAAGGATGAGTGTGTATATAACCAACCTGTGTTATTATTTTATTGTTGTGTTGATAAAGGCTCTTAATGAAGTAGATGATGACCAACGAGAAGGAGCTGTTAACAGCCAGTCAGAAGAAAGTGAGAATGAGTTGGATAACTCTCTAAGCTCTCAGTCAAACACAAATGTGGACACGTAAGTATAGATGGCATAAGTATCTAGGATGCTTCCCTTTTTTCCAAGGCCATTTCTTCCCCCACCCCTACTTTATTGAGATATAATTGACATATAATGTTGTATAAGTTTATAAGGCATACAACATGTTGATTTGATATACTTATATACTGCAAAATGGTTACCATCATAGCATTAAGTGATGGATGGTTAATACCTCTGTCACATCATATAATTACCATTTCTTTTTTGTGGTAAAAACATTTAAGATCTTCTCACTTAGCAACTTGCAAGTATAAAATAAAATATTATTAGCTATAATCACAAGAAGCTGTTCATCTTATAACTGGAAATTTGTACCCTTTTACCATCTTCCCATTTGCTCCACCTCCCAGCCCCTGGTAACCACCACTCTGTTTCTATGAGTTTAGCTTTTTTATTATATATTTTTTAGTTTTTAGTTTTTTGAAAATTGTTTTATTTATTTATTTATTTTGGCTGCATTGGGTCTTCATTGCTGCATGGGCTTTTTCTAGTTGCAGTGAGGGGGGGCTGCTGTTTGTTGTGGTGCACAGGCTTCCCATTGTGGTGGCTTCTCGTTGCAGAGCACGGGCTCTAGGCTTGTGGGCTTCAGTAGTTGCAGCACGCAGGCTCAGTAGTTGCGGCGCGTGGGCTCAGTAGTTGTGGCTCACAGGCTCTAGAGTGCAGGCTCAGTAGTTGTGGCGCATGGGCTTAGTTGCTCTGCAGCGTGTGGGATCTTTCTGGACCAGGGCTCAAACCCGTGTCCCCCTGCATTGGCAGGCGGATTCTTAACCACTGCGTCACCAGGGAAGTCCCCTCAGCTTTTTTAGATTCCACGTATAAGTGATATCATACAGTATTTGTCTTTCTTTGTCTCACTTGTATTTCTCAATGTAATATCTTCCAGGTTCATCCATGTTGTCACAAATGGCATGATTTCCTTCTTTCTCATGGCTGAATAATATCTCACTGTATATGTATACAGTGGAATATGATACATATCTATATATCTCAATCACATCTTCTTCATCCATTCATATGTTGACATATACTTAGGTTGTTTCCATATCTTGGTTATTGTGAATAGTGCTGCAGTTAACATGGGAGTGCAGATATATCTCTGAGATCCTGTTTTCATTTCCTTTTGATATATACCCTGATATATATCCTGGATCATATGGTAGTTATATTTTTAATTTTTTGAGGAACTTCCACACTGTTTTCCATAATGGCTGTACCAATTAACAATGCCACCAACAGTGCACAAGGGTTCCCTTTTCTCCACATTCTCATTAATGCTTGTTATCTCTTGACTTTTTGATGATAGCCATTCTTATTATAGATGTGAAGAGATACCTTATTGTGGGTTTGTTTTTTTAATCATTTTTATGTGTTTGTTTTATGTTTGCTTTTTTTAGTTTGCTTTCTGTTTTTGTTTTGTTTTTATTGTTTGTTTTTTTGGGTTCTTTTGTTTGGTTCTCTTGTTTTCTTTGTTTTTTTACTTTTGTTTTATTTTTTGTTTGGTTTTGCTTTTATTGTGGCTTTGATTTTCATTTCCCTTATGATTAGTGATGTCAGGCACCTTTTCGTGTATGTACTTGTTGGCTATTTGTACGTCATCTTTGGAAAAATGTCTGTTCAGTTCTTCTGCCCATTTTTTTTATTGGATTGTTTGGGGTTTTTGCTATTAAGTTGTATGAGTTCTTTATGTATTTTGGATATTAACCCCTAATTAAATATATGATTTGCAAATATTTTCTCCCATTCCATAGATTGCCTCTTCATTCTGTTGATTGTTTCTTTTGCTGTGCAGAAGATTTCTGGTTTCATGTAGTTCCAGTTATTTTTTTTTGCTTGTGCTTTTGGTGTCAGATCCAAAAAACTGTTGCCAAGATCAATGTCAATGAGCTTCCCCTATGTTTTCTTCTAGGATTTTTACCATTTCAGGTCTAATGTTTAAGTCTTTAATCCATTTTGAGTTAATTTTTGTGAGTGGTGTAAGGTAGGGGTCCAATTTCATTCTTTTGCACATCTTTATCTAGTTTTTGCAATGCTATATGTGTGTGTATATATATATACACACACACACAAGTATTTAAGTTGTTTCCAATATTTTTCAATTAAAAAATGCTGCAGTGAATAACTTATGCATATGTATTTTTGTATGGTTGAAGGTGTGTATTTAGAGTAAATTACTAGAAGTGGGATTTGGGGATTAAAAGGTAAATGCTATGTAATTTTGTTCTAAAATTACTGAATTCTGCTTTATGAGGGTTGTAGTATTTTGCACTCCTACTGGCAACTTACAAGAGTGTCTGCACCAGAGTGTGTTGTCAGACTTCTCTGCTGATTTCATAGGTGAGAAATGTTATCTCAGTGTAGTTTTACTTTGCCTTTCTAAGTGAAATTGATAATTTTGTCATATATTTAAGGGACATTACAGTGAATTGTCTATTCATGTCTTTTGCCCATTTTGCTTTTAGGGTTTTGATCCTTTTTTTATTAATTTGTAAGCATTCTTTACATATTAAGGATATTAGTCTTTTACCTGTGTAATATGTTATATTTTCTCCCAATTCGTTGTCTTTTGAATTTCTTTAACAAGTAAAAGATTTAAGAATATATCTATAGTGCTCGCTTTGGCAGCACATATGCTAAAATTGGAACAATACAGAGAAAATCAGCATGGCCCCTTTGCAAGGGTGACACACAAATTTGTGATGCATTCCATGTTTAAAAAAAAAGAATATAGGGCTTCCCTGGTGGCGCAGTGGTTGAGAGTCCGCCTGCTGATGCAGGGGACACGGGTTCGTGCCCCGGTCCGGGAAGATCCCACATGCTGTGGAGTGGCTGGGCCTGTGAGCCATGGCCGCTGAGCCTGCGCGTCCGGAGCCTGTGCTCCGCAACGGGAGAGGCCACAACAGTGAGAGGCCCGCATACCGCAAAAAAAAACAAAAACAAAACCAAAACAACAACAACAACAAAAAAGAATATATATATAGTTTGAATTTATCATTCATTGCTTTTACATGTGGATCTTGAATCATACTCTGAAATTCTTTCCTAAAACTGATTTTAGAGGAATTCACTCATGTTTCTTCTGATACTTCTGTGGTTTTATTTTTTATTTAGTTCTCTGATCCATTGAAAGTTTATTTTGGTATGTGGTATGAGGTATGGCTCTGCTTCTTATCTTTTCCTAAATTGGTATCCAATTGCCCCAGCACCATTTATTACTGCCCCACTGATCTGAGATTCTGCCTGCATACATTAATTACCGTGTGTACCTGGATCTACTTCTGAATTTTCTAGTCCACTGGCCTTGTTTCCGTAGTCATGCTCCAATACCACACTGTTTGTTCTTTTGGTTTTTTTTGCGGTACACAGGCCTCTTACTGTCGTGGCCTCTCCCGTTGCGGAGCACAGGCTCCGGACACGCAGGCTCAGCGGCCATGGCTCATGGGCCCAGCTGCTCCGCGGCATGTGGGATCTTCCTGTACCGGGGCACGAACCCGTGTCCCCTGCATCAGCAGGCGGACTCTCAACCACTGCGCCACCAGGGAAGCCCACCACACCATTTTAATTAGAGTTTATATTGTTTTAATAGACTTCCCTCCTAGCCTTTTCCAGTTCAGAGTTTTCATAATGATTGTTACATGTTTATTCTTCTGTATGAATTTAGTGTCAACTTATTTAGCATCATAAAAAAGTTTATTGATATTTTTGTTATATTAATAAAGTAACTAGAGAGACCTGACATCTTTATTATGCTGGGTTTTACTATCCAAGAACAAAGGATATTTTTCAATTTGTTAATGTCTACCTTTTTGTTTTTGAGGAGTATTTTAATGTTTTTTTCATATAGGTTTCCTCATTTCTTGTTAAAATTATTCCTGAGTATTTTTGTTGTTGGTTACTATTTTATTTTATTATTTATTAATTTATTTTTTGAGAGAAGGAAGGATTTATTATTACTTGCAGCAAGTAAGATGAACTCGGGGGATATTTCCCAAAGCAGTGTCTCCCCAAACAGTAAAATTGGGGAAGTTTTAAGCTAAGAGTACATGCATATTCATGAAGAGGCTTGAGCAGAGGAGAATTCAGCATAGAATTGGGACAAATGTTGGCAGAGTCCCAGCTTTAGTTGATTGAAGTCCAGGAGGGTCAACATCATCATTCCATCTTCCACAGAGGTGGGGGTCTTAGTTCCTGCAGAGCTCAAAAACTGTATCAGATTGTTATGTATATCCCTTGAGGAGCAATTAGCACTCGTTTTATTGCTGAACTTTTGTTTCTTGACTGCGTTTTCTCTGTTACTGAATTCCCTTACTTCCCTTAAGATCATTAACTACGGAGACTGGTTCAAGGGCAAGAATTGTGGTCAGGCTTAGATCACAAAATGGCTTAGGCCAAAAGTGGCTTCTCTCTCTCTCTCTCTTTTTTTTTTTTTTTTTTTT